CAACACCCTCCCCCTTAAGCTATGACAGCATCAGCACACACAGGGGAAGGAGTGAAAAAGTTGTCCTGCGACCAACAAAATAAATCCGTGTTCCCAATCTAAGAAAAAGGGCTAAGAATGTGTTGAGGGCCCTAAATCGGCTGACAGGAAGGTTACAAATGTTTTACATAAATAATTGTGAGTGAGCAAGCCCCTGGTTCAATACTCCTCTCAACCATGAACCGGCTGGCTGAGTTCAGACACGATACAAGAAGAGGGTTTAATTAAACTGCGCTTCATTTGATAGTGTGAACATGGAGTACTCTACGATGTTTAGTTTATGTGAAACAGGGATCTCAAACATAGTTTGAAGTTGGTTTATTAACAGTTATAAAGTAAAGGTAAAGGTTCCCTTGCTCGAAAGCCAGTCGAATCCGACTCTAGGGTTGCGGTGCTCATCTCCGTTTCAAAGCCGAAGAGCCAGCGCTGTCCGAAGACGTTTCCGTGGTCATGTGGCCGGCATGACTAAACACCAAGGCGCACGGAATGCTGTTACCTTCCCACTGAAGTGGTACCTATTTATCTACTTGCAATTTCTTGCTTTTGAACTGCTAGGTTGGCAGGAGCTGGAACTAGAGACGGGAGCTCACTCCGTCATGCGGCACCCGGGTCTTGAACTGCTGAACTACTGACCTTCCACAGCCTGCAGTTCAGCGTCTTAACCACTTGAGCCACCGCAGCTCCACATTTATATTATATATATAGTTATATTATATAATAAAACATGTCATATAACAGATTAAGGTGAGCAGCCGTGTTGGTCTGAAGTAGCAGAACAAAGCTTGAGTCCAGCGGCACCTTTAAGACCAACACAGTTTTAGTCACGTTATGTGCTTTCATATGCACACGCTCTTCCTCAGATAGGAGGAAGTGTGCATGTGCACACCAAAGCTCATACCTTGAATAAAACTTTGTTGGTTTTAAAGGTGCCACTGGACTCAAACTGTGTTATGTCATATAATAATAGATATGATTTTATGTGATATAAAAATGCAGATACCCCGGTTTGTTTCTCAGTACTAGTGTTCACTCCTTGGTACAGGGATGCCCGGCCACACAGAGTGAAGGCAATGAAACTAGCATTTAAACCGTCTGAATTATCATTTGCAAGCCAAATCTTTGTTTCATAAACTAATCATAGTCGAAATAAATTGCAATGTTGTGTTATGTCTGAACTAAACCTTTAAATGGCTTAACACAAGTCAGTATCTCTTACACACACACACACACACCTCTTAAAATGTGGATATTGGTAACTATTTTACAAGGCTACTAAAAATTAACATGACGTATTCTGAATTTTCAGAAAGCATTACATAAAGTATTGTTAGACCAAGATGCCAGCAGAACTGATTCTGCTGCTGTTCAAGGATGCTAGGTCCAGGACAACATTTGATCTTGCAGAGATGTGCAAGAAAATCCACAACACAACCATAAAAAGCTTCCCTGCCATGCTGTTTCTGACTACACCTTTAAGTTTCTTTTGCACCTGTATGTTGCTGATGGACATTACTGTGGTAAGTGATAGAAACAGTACAATCAACGCTTCACAGTTTTAAAGACCAACTTGTCAAACAGATCAAGGTTAATCTTGCCAGCCAAAAGAGAATAAACTAATACTGTCTTCGCACAAGTCATTTAAAGCATAATCTCAGGATGTGTTATATTGGCATATAAACGCTCAAGATGGGGTTGCCTCAATAGCCACAACTAAAGCGACAGCAGGAAAAACGACCCACACACACAACAAAATGTTACAGGTTGACAAAGACTTTTCCTTGCCCAACAACGTTTCACAAATTTCTCATCTGGGCACTTCAGAGGCATGATGAACAGTTATTAATTTAGCCAATATACAATTTAAAAAGCATGCTATCAAGGCTGGATCTACTAGCTATTCTACTGGAGCGAGAAAGGTTCCCTTTTGATCCCTGGCTTTTCCAGGGTTTGTGAAAATGGCTTAGACAGAAAGCAACATAGATTACAGTAAGAAGGAGCACTGGATGAGATATCCCTCTTCACTCTTTTGCCACGCCAGTGGAAAAACCTGGTAGGATCCAATCCTTTGTGCCAAAATACTGAAGACTATAGGCAGGAGATTGTAAAGAGATTTTTCTTATCACGAACAGCTTTCTATCCTTAGTCTTTAAAACAGGGGTGTCGAACTCATTTGTTATGAGGGCTGGATCTGACATAAATGAGACCTTGTTGGGCCGGACCATGTGTGTCATAAAATGTAATGCCAGGTACTGGACATATAAACTTTTAAAAGGACACAAACACAAAGGGTGTTTTTTACTTAAAATAAAAACATGCTAAAACATCAGCACTCTTGCAATATTTTGTTTATTTAACAGTGTCTGATAACTGACACCTCTTGCTCTGAATTATTGCATCAAAATGTCTGTGCTGTTGCAATCTTGAGTATGCTGTTCAGGTGTGTATCTGTAAGCACACAGGGAACATGGTGTGTATCTGTAAGCTGCAAACCTACAATGATGCAGCAGCAGCAGAACTGGAAGAAGCAGAAGACAGCCCGTTCCACTGCGGCCTGATAGAGGCCCTCAGGGGGGCCTGATTTGGCCCCCGGGCCACATGTTTGACACCCGTGCTTTAAAAGATGCATAAAATGAAACTGTTCACATACTAAGATTAAAAATGAGTTCAGCATACATTTACATCACAGCATACAGTAATCAGGATTTACCAAACAGTGGCATTTGAAACCCAAATATTTCCTCCTCCCCAGAAGACAGCTAGAGAGGGGCCTAGCCTGCCTGCACAAGCAACACACGCAGCTGGGAGCCAATAACACAGCATGTGATCCGAAAGGTGAACAAGCCTTGCAGCACAGCTGAGCATCCCAAAATGCACCTCCCAGATCATACGGATCATACCAATAAAAACTACTTAGGGAAGCAAGATGTCCTGAGCCAGCCATGCAACTAGTGCACACGCACAAAAAACCCCCAGGTCCTTAAAACTCTTAACCATCATCGTCATACAGGCATCTGTTTCTGCTTCTTTTCCCCACCCGGACCAGAGGTTTATGTACAAACTGGCAAACAATCCATTAATCAAATAAGTTTTTAGCATGCTTTTCTACAGACTTATTATCAAAATCGTAATATTCGTAAATTCTATCAAAATTAGTTGAAATTCCTCCCACGTAAAGCTGCTTGTGACAAAGAGAGTGAAGATTTAGTACTATAAGATTAGCACTGCTTTTTTAGCTTTCAACACTGACAGTTAAGTTCAATTTCAGCTAGCCATCATAAGGCTTGTTCCCCCACATACAAATTGTCAATATATAGGACCAAGAGCCCCATTATAAAAACTCTAGCTATCCTCAAGTACAAACTAGAATTCTAAATCTAAACACTAATGTTAGCCTTGCCTAAAAATGGTATTAAGTGATGTTTTGTTTTTTTAAAAAGTGCCAGCAATTTTACGTAAGGTTACACCAATTCTCCCCCATCAGGATTTGGAAGGGCCCCCAAATAAGGTGCCAGTATGGGGAACCAGAGAGTACAACCACAAGAAACAAAACAAAACAAAACACCTTGGTATTAAGAATTATTACAGAGATATCAATTCTAGGAATCTGATCGCAGTTCCACAAAAACAAAATCCCTAGTTCTTCATCATAATTAACAATTGAAGCAGAGATGTCCTTTTCTGCCCAGTTAGTTTTAAGATTCTCTTACATCTACGCCCAATCCTAGATTGGGAAACTGGCCCTTACACTGCATAACCTATGCACACCTGCTTGAGACATTTCGGGGTAAGTATGATTAGGACTGTGTAACCCCCAGAAGAATTCTCATAGTCACCTCCCTCACTTCAACTCATCCACCAACATGAAAAAGTTCTTGCACAGCCCAGTGGAATTGCAAAGATGAAGCCAGCAAATGGTACTGCAGCAATGCTCGAGCTAAGGTCTACAACAGTGTGCAAGAATGAGCAAGTCCCCCACAATGCCTTGGGGGGATGCATATATATGATCTGATGAACCACTGCCTCTGCATAGCTGTTCATAGGATGAGGCCAATATCATGTCCTAATTCACTAGCATAGAATTCATCTACCAGAGCACAGGCATTTGCTAGGAGTTTGTCTACCCCTCTTCACAGCATCACAAACCCACATACAGATTGTCCAACATATATGGAATCTAATATACACCAGCTGCTAGATCTAGTGTCAGGCTACAAATCATGTTACAAAACAAATCTGTCAATGTGAGCTGCCTGAATTCCTTCCTTCAGTAAAAGTATGGGCACATTTGCAATCAGTGCACGAACTCACTTCCATCGATGATAATACTATATACAGATCAACAGTAACCAAACTCATATTTAGTTATTGCATAATGACAACTCCACTAAGCACTCACTTAATACTTCTCTTTTGTCCCTATAAAACCCCGAATCTAAAAACATAGTCTGGGCCAACTTTGAACTCTTGGGTTATTTTTAAAAAATCTATTTTCTTCAAGTCCAAAGGAAACCTAAAGAGGACGCAACTGAGTCAGCAGCTGCATTTCCAACTGCAGTGGATGATTAGTCCTTTGTTTTTTTAACACCTCTCTACAAGCAGACAAGCAAATGTACTAATACTTTTACTTCCATGTTGGAACATAGACACTGAATCAATTAGTAATGGCCTAACAGGGGGGGCTACAATGAATGTTGGGAACAGCCGTTTCTTAGATTTAAGGTGTCTTTTTATACTCGCAGGGTTGTTTTTTTTAAAAAAGCGAGTTGTCCAATTATATATGAACATGAAATCAAGCTAACACTGAGCAGTCACCTGTGGACACTTCACCCCAACAAGCCTTATTTACATTTCTATTGAGCCAAACTATCCGCAAGTCTGTTAAGCCCCAGCTGTACCTGGGGGGGGGGGGGGGGGGGTCCAAACCACAGAAGGGCCCAAGTGTCAGCTCCCTGCCCCCTTACCTTCTTTATTAAGCCTCATCACCTCCCTGCTTTTTCCACTCTCTTTTCCAGTCTCTTCTAGCTCTACACCTGCGGAAGAGAAAGAAAGTCAGAGAAAACAAAGGCAGTGCACATTATATGCATGTGAATATAGTCACACCCAGAAGGAGAAAAAAAGAGCACAAGGAGAGTTCAGAAATGTCAGGCAGCAACATTTTTTAAAAAACAAGCTCATCAGCCACATCTGCCATGAAAGGGCATCCCCAGACAAACACCACCTGGGGAAACAGCATCCTCCTTGGTCTCACCAACCTAGACCCAGCACTCATGCAACAGCACCCTCACATGGCCTTGGTCCAATTCATTGAATACCACATCTCCTCCACCACCGGATCCCCCCGCCACAGCCAGCTCCCCCTCCCCCATGCATCCAGAGATGTGCAGAACTGTGTCAAGAAGACACATGGGCAGAGGGCGATCGGCTGGGTAGCAGGGTGGGTGGGTCTCTCTCTCTCTCGCTCTCTGCAACCCCGATTGCAATGAGAGGAGGGGACAGAGAGAGAAGGGCAGGGCATGCAACCCGTCGCCGCCTCCTTCTTCCTTCCTGCGCTCCCTGGGAGATCCGTGTGTGTGTGAACGCGTGTCTCTGGGGATAGGGCAACCGCGTCTCCTCCCTCCTCCCTCGGCCTGTGCCTGGCGGGTGCCCTTACTGTGCGGGGGGGCGGCGCAGTGCGTGTGCGGAAGGGCGGCCTCCCGGACCCAGGCGGCCCAGGGCTGGCCCAGGAACGCCTCGGGACTGGGCACGGGCCGCTCCAGGGCCGCCATGGCGGCGGCGCCGCCACCGCCGCCGCCGCTCTTCTTCTTCTTCCTTCTCCTCCTCCGCCTCCTCTTCTTCTTCCTCCTCCTCCTCCTCAGGCCGCTCCTGCTCTGCCTCTGGCTCGTGCTACTGCTGCTGCTCCGTCGGCGTCGGCGGCTCGTCTTGCCTCCTCCTCCTTCTCCTCCTCTCGCGGCTTCCCCCGTTTCCTTCAGCAGCAACGAGCGAGACACGGGATTCGAGAACGCCGCACGTCATCCTCGGGACGTTCTACCGCCCACACGGGGGTAGTGTCAGACCCGGCTTGCTCCCTATCAGAACGGCCGCGACGGCTCCTGCCGCGCAGGCGCGGAAGGGGGAGGCGAAGCCGCGCAGCCCTTAACGCGCTTGGGGAAGGGAAAGGACCGAAGCGAGGAGAGTGGATGGGCTGGCGGGATGCAGGCGCCCGTTCTCCAGTCAGGTGAGCGGAGGATGCACCGGCCGGGCGGCCACAAGCCCCGCCTCCTCCCTACCAGGTGCGGGACAACCACAGCGACACACACGGATGAATAGATAATAAATTGCTTTTTTGTACAGTTATACAGTTAAACAGAGGAAGATAGATTGGCAACAGTTTGGAGGGGAAAAAATGTCCTGCCTCTGTTAATGGGGCAGGGCATTTTTTTTCTCCAAGCAGTTGTCAGTCCTATCCAATGAAGTTAGCTCACTGGCAAGCAAAGATGGCAGGTAGGCACAGGACAATGGCATTGGCTTGCTTTTCTTAGTTTCTTTTGGGATCAGGACATACAGGTGTGTAAAGGGGCTCAGATAGATGGAAATGTCTTCATTGGCAACAGACCCAAAAATTACAGGCCCTACATCAATACAAACATAAACAGAGGGAGCTATCCATATATAGATCTCATTTTGATAGGGTTATACAGAGAAAGAGGCATAAACACACTTGGAGTACAATCCTAAAAAAGTTATGCCCTTAAAGTCAATGAGCTTAGAAAGGACTAAATCTGCTTAGGGTTGCCCTGTCAAAGAGGGGCAAAAGAGACTACTAAATTTGGGGAGACGCCTGTTAATACAGTACACATGGCATTGCCATGATGGGGAAGAAGGAAAGAGTTCTTTTTTATGGTGTCATTCTACATTGCAAATTCACCTGTTGTTGTATGTGTGTATGCATGCTTGTGTTCTTGTGTGTGTGTGTGTGTGTAAAAGGACACTGACACACATATAGCATAATGTGAACAATAAACAATGCAAGAATAAAAATGTCTAAAATATTAATGGACATTAAAGTGAGACTCCTGTTCACTTGATGTCCCCTCCCCTCCTTTCAAAAATAAACAGGGGCCTCAGAACCTCTTTAAAGAGAAAATAAATAGTACTGTGTCTCCTTAAAGACTATCTGTCTCTGCCTATCTAGTACTGCTATTACAGCTATTGCCTTGAACAGAAAATAAGATGATAAAAGCCTTACTTAATATTGTCTCCCTGATATTTAATTATTGCCCCTAAACATTTTGCCACAGAAAAAGTAATTGAATCCTTTATATCTGATAGTAGCCACGTCACCTGAGCTCTCATATTAGGCAGTTTCATATTTTTAAGTAGAGGGGTAATTAAACTTGCCCTCAACTCATTAAATATGGGACATTCTGTAATCATGTGTTCAATCGTTTCAGCGTTATCTTATGAACATCTGTATATTCTGTTGGCGTATATGGTACTTTTTTGTATCTGCTCTCCAAATCTGCTGAGGGAGGGCATTCATTCTTGCCAAAGTGAAACCTCTTCTGAGCTTTGGTACTATCAAGTGATAAAAATATTTCAGCAGTTGCATTGGGAGGACAATGCCCAAATAAAGTGTTGAATATGGACGCCCTAACAGATGTACCAGTAATATTCAGCTTCCTAATGTGCATATTTATTTGCTGATTATATCTTTGGTCTCTGTAATCCTGACCATGTCATTTGTTATTCCTAAGCATTTCGTTTTCTTTTTCAGTGGTTGATCCCATTGACTATTATATATAACTGCCTGTATGAGACCAAGCAGAGTAGGCCCTCCCTCAGATTTTAAAATCTTAACCTTAAAAAGAAATGCTTTTTATCCATGCCTTACCCTCCATCAATAGTTCACCCAGTTCTACTCTCATCACCATTCCCAAACCGCATCTAGGGGTAGTTAACAAGCATTGGGGGGAAATCATGCTGAATGTACTGTAATCCATTATTTCAGAGGCAGCCTGAATGCAGATTTCCGCCCCATACATGAATTGGTTTGAAACCTTGGCATTATATACTTTTAAGGCTGAAGGGACAAATTCACCCCCTGCTGTATAGAAGTATTTTACAATGGTCCTCCCTAATCTCAGGGCAGCATTCCTCGTCAGGTCCAAGTGTGCTTTCCATGTAAGAGATGCTTCAAAATGGATTCCCAGATATTTAAATTGGTTAACCTGTTCCATGGATTGACCAGCTATATGCTGTCTGAAGATTCCTCCCCTTTTCCTTTTGCTAAATACTATGACCTTACATTAATAGACAAGCCTTCACGGTTACAATAGTGCTCAACATTTTTTAACAGTTTGCAAAGTCCCATGACTGATCTGGACATTATCGCTGCATCATTCACATATAAGAGAATTGGAGTTTCACACTTGGATAGATACGGAAGATGGCAGGCATTCCTCAAGAGACAGGGTCCAAGATCATTTATATATAAGTTAAACAGCAGGGGCTCCAGAATGCATCCCTACTTAACACTTTTATCTAGGGTAAATGCCCCAGATAACTGTCCTAACTCCCTGCGGCTTACCTGAATGGTAGGTTAACGCTATAGCTGTTGTATTAGGTAAAGGAGATGAGGCTTGATACCATATTTCTTCAGCTTTCCCTATAATCAAGTCCTAGAGATTGTAACAAACACTGATTTAAGATCCATGAAGGCAGTTGCCAGCATGCCTTCTTCAGGGCTCGTGTATTTATCTACCAAGTATTGAAGTATATAGCAATGATTGATAGTACTTGCTCCTTTCTTAAAACCAGCCCACTCATTCCCCAGAATACTATTACCTTCAACCTAGGATCTAAACTTTTCAAAAAGCATTGCCGCATACAGCTCTCCTATGGTGGACAACAGACTTACTAGGTGGTAATTCATCAGGTCCATCGGGTCCCCCTTTTTATAGATCAGAACAATTATCACACTGTGCCAGGCTTCGGGCATACTTCCTGTCTTATTGATATCAGTAAAGACTGAAGCCAGTATCTGTGCCTGTCTGGGTCAACCTTAAATAATTCTGCTGATATTTGGTCAGGACCGGGAGCTCTTCCTTTTTTGTTGTTGTTTGATCAAAATCCTGACCTCGCTAGCTATTACTGGGGGGCATTCCTTCATATCTGGTGGCAGCTTTGGCCCACCATTCGGTATATCTCTGTTTTTATTTGCAAAGGTAGATGTAAAAAAGGCTTCCCAAATGGCTGCCGGAATATGACAAGGTACTGGGAACCTTGTATTTAGTCCTTTTGCTATTAACGTCCAGAAAATAGTGTCATTTTTTGGTTTTTACAGCCCAAAGTAAACATTCCCATTCATTTTCCCGGACCTCAGACTTCTTAGTTTTCAGCATTTCTTTTGTATTCTCTTTTCAATTTCAGAATACTTGGTAGTAGCTCTGTTCTGTTTGAGTTTTTAAATTGCCTATGGAGGATCCTGATTGCTCTTTTAAGTGCCTTACACTCAATATCATACCAGTTGTTTGTGTCAGGAATGCCCTGCCTGTTGACAAGACTAAACATTCCAGCAGAAGCTTCTATAAACAAAAACCACAATCTTCAGATGCAATGATTGCCCAGCAAGAATCCATTCATGATATCTGAAGCAGTGGGCTCCAGGCCACAAAAGCATCTTCTGGAATATTAAATGTCTATCTTTATTTACTACGAGAAACCTATTTATTTTCCTGTTTATTTAAACATACTTACTGGGGAATAACTCACACTTAACTCAACTGGATGGGCAGAGCAATCCTGTGGCACTGCTAGTCGTCACTGGTCAACTGTTTAAAAGGATAGTTATGCCACGACCAAATGGGGGAAAAGGTTCCCCATCAGTGTTGCCAGGTGCTGCTGCGGCTCTGTCCATGGCGATCCCACCACAGCGTTCCATTCCAGCGTTGTTGCAAAGTGGTGGCAGCGTGATAGGGCAGGAAGGACCAATTGGAGTTATGAGTTGAGGAGGTTGAGCCAACCATCCATCAGTGGTAGGGAGTGGACGGGGGTGGGCCACAAGAGTAATGCTCCTCCTCCACTGCACACCTCCTCTGCTGCATACCCATAAATGTTAAACAGCCTCAAATGTTGTCTGTTTTCAATGATTTTTTTAAAAGTGAACAGCCGGTCTAAAGTGTTAGGGAACAAGCCTGATATTTGTTTTATGGACTGCTTATTGCTACACAATGGACTGTGCACGTACACATAGGCTCAGAAAACTGTACACTTTAGGTCACCTGTTGTGATGACACACATAGAAGGTGACTGCATATACCTTACATGTAAATAAGGTTTCAGCAACACAGTTGCACAGCCTGGTGAAGAAGCACAAATCTCCATTATTGTTAGCAATGAAACAACAACTTTGGGAAGAAACAGCCACCATGGCAAAGCTGCTTGCTGGTCATGTATCACCCATCGCCATGTAACTGCTTTGTTCCTGAGATGGCATTTCCTGCCAGATGGACGTTTGGTTATCAAAGGAACTGGCCAACTTCATCAGCATGACAATGAAGCATCCTGACGCCTGGATCTCACACCTGTCCAGATGCCAATACTTCGAGTAAGGTTTTAGGTTACAATATTGGCCATCCCTCCTAGGTAACCTCCCTCCCTGCCTACAACCAATAGGATTGTTTTGGGGATGGACTAACAGTTAGGTGGGTCAAGAGGGTGGCACAGGTACCACCCACCTCTTGGACCCCCTATAACAGGAGAGAACCAGTCACCTGGCCCCTCCTGGTTAACTAGCATTC